TCCTCCCGCTCCGCCCTGCAGCTCCCCGGCTCCTCTTCTCGCTCCTGCCGCCCGGCCTCGCCGCCTCGCCCCGCTTTTGTGTCGTTCGGCCGTGCCCGGGCCCTGCTGCGTCCCTCCCTCCCCTCTCCTCCGCGCTCGCTGCCGCAGCTTTCCGCCGGCCGCTCCCCCAGGTCTTCCCTCGGCCTCTCCAGACCTTTCCCGATAAACCCGCTAACTCTCCCCTCCTCCCGCCCACCCTTTGTCTGCGGTAGGGTGTTGTCTAAATTCGCAACCGTGCCTTTCCCAAGGAGGTGTCAGCTCTGCGGCTATGTTCTAGATCCTGCTTCAGTGTCAAAACCTTTCAAGGACCATGTGGTCAGCCAGCAGCGTGTGTTTGCTCCAGGGAGGTGGGCTCTCAGCAAAGGCGCTGATGGGTGATTTTTATTTAATGCTAGACTCTAGTTACCTGACATCAAAATTTTGGAGCTTTTTTTAAAATGAAGTGTTGGAAACTTAATTCATGGTGTTAGAGCTGTCACTTGTAGTTCAAATGTTGTTGATCTGTTGCCATTAGCGATTTACAAAGCATGCAAGCCAGAGATGTGAAACAGAGCAGTACATGGAAATACATCAGGATTGGTTTCCTATTGCACTAGCTGTGTGTGCATCAAGCACGCAGTGCTGACTGCCTCTGTGTTTGAGATGAGTTTCAGAGGCTGGTATCGATTAAGATCTCAGATACATTCTGGTATAGGTTTATGGGGTTGCTATTTTCAAGGAGTTTTTATGGCTTGTAATTCTTAGTCTCCTGCTCCGACAGTAGTCTTCTAATATCCCAGGTAATGATGTTATCTGGATAATGCCATTCTTGTATTTGCACTCACACAAGGATCAGGGGATGTGATTGGAGGCATAATCATGAATGCCATAGTATTAAAAATCTCCCTGGTTTGGGGTTTCCATATTGTTCGTATGTAAGTAAAGACAATAACATCGTGCATGCTTTCACAGAGTCATGGAGATGGAGCACCTAATGTGCCTTTAAAATATGCTGGGTGGAGTTCCTTCAGATTTACTTAGTGTCTGTATCAGCTGTTAGTATTGAGAAATTCTGTAGAGTGCAGGGTTTTTTTTTGATACATCCCAGTGAGCTCTGGTTCTTGACAGAAGTGATTTCATACAGAGTTATGCAGAATGTTACTTTTATTTCTCATTTTGAAGATGAAAACCTACATTTAGGGATAGGTTGCAAGGCTAATATTCTTCCTGAAACAACAAGCAAAAATAAGGTGGTAGTTGCATTGTTGCTATTTTTTTCCCCCAAGCGTGGACTCCTGCTGCACACAAAGCTGCTTTAGGCCTTTTCCCTTGTTTGTTTTCCATAAAATATTTATTGGCTTTCTGTGGGAGAGGTTTCAACAGCTCTGAAGTACAGCCAAGAACCTATAGTGACGTACTTTGTAAGTTTGAAGCTATGGCTTTATAGCTCACATACGGGCATCGGAACAGATCATCTTCCTACACTTTTTCTGGTTTAATATTTCTGAAAAAATTCCAGATTTTGCCCCCTTCTTTTGTTTAATGTTGCTGAGTGAGGAGTGGGAATTTGATTCCTTCATGCAGGTACTTGGCTGACTGTATTTTTCTCCCCTCTTGTGGCTCTTTGTGTTTCTGTGCTCCATTTTGCTCATGCAGTGGAAGACCCAATTCCCTCGGCCATTCCTTGTATGACATGTGTTCTAGACCTTTTATAAGCCTCGCTGCCCTTCACTGGAATTGCTCCAACATCTCAATGTCTTTTTTTGAATTGAGGGGCCCAAGACACCTTTCTTGTCAGGAGTTGTGTGTTTTACGTGGAAAAGCTAACAGGGCTGGAGTTTATCTTTTTTGTCTTTTTTTTTCTTCCTCCCCCTTTTTCTTTTTTTTTTTACATCTCTGCAGTGGTTTCTGGTGACCTGGTTGCAAGGGCATTGAACAGGCCTTATTTTGTCATTCCCCTACCCTTCAGAAATTTGATGCCAAACATGTACCTTTGTGTGTGCTTGTATTTGTGAAGCTTGTAAGTCAAATGTGTTCCCTGCATATTTCTGCTTACATGGGTTAATGTTCTTTTTAGGTACGAAGAAGCTTTTGAAAGTGATACATTACTGAAGGTGATATTTAATTTGTCAAATGACACTATAGCCTGACGGGCTTGGTGTAAAAGGGCTGAGTTGTACTGACAGCACTTAGAGTAGGAACTATTGCTGTGTACATGGTACATTTCTGCCAGGCTGTCCATGCAGAGAAGTTGGGAAGGAAATTTCTCATAAGGCCCCAAGGACTCTTTTCTGCAAAAAGTATATGTTTATGTAATGGAGAAGAATGTGACCCAGACAAAAAGGGGAAATCCAGTGAAAGTGGGTGCAGACCTGTGATAGGGTTGTATGTGTGTGGGATACTGAGGGGGAAAGAAACTATTGAGGAGTCTAAGTTTAGTTTGTGGAGAGAAGGCAACTGAATGCAAAATTAAAGGGAGTTGCTGGTAAGATGCATATGATAGAAGCATAAAGGATGAATGATTGTGCATGGAAGAGGGCTCTGGGGTGATTTTTTGTTTTTAGGAAGTGTAAAATCTTTAAAATGGATGGGAATGAGACACCATTCCTGTATGATCTGTGGCTCACTCTCCATGGCTCCTCACCTACCCTGTCACAAAATTGTCAAAGAATTTCATTTGGAGAATATTTCTAATGGGGAGCAAATAAGGGGACACAGATTGTGTGGCTTCTACAAGAGGTTACATTGCATGGCCTGATCCAGAGGTTTCCTGCCATACTGAAGAAAGTGTGCTGTGCAGTCCAGTGTTACCACAGATGTTATTCTGTTTTATAGTAATTTTCACACCTGTCTTAATTGTTTGCCATGTTGTAATAAACTTTTGTTGATGGAGGATCTTACTCAGTCTCATTTAATCAAGAGACACGACTACATGGGCCCTGGTGTGAGCTCCCTGGTCATGATGTTCATGTAATTTTAGATAGATTTTGCCTTACTCTGAGGTTTTATCTTATTATACTTGATCTGTTGAAGACCTGGCAGTGTCTACTTCGATCTTTCTTAGGAAGCGTATAAGACAAAGTGAAGTTGTTACTGAGATCTTTAAGCCTTAAAAACCTGAAGTGATTAATGTTTGACTGCTGAGCTGGAAGTGAATATATGGCTAATTTTGGAAGCCTATTGATTCTTTTCTATGAGGTAGTGTTAGGTAACATGTCAGCATGTGTTAACAGATGCTTAACATCTGCTTAGTTAATGCTAACTGGGTAACAAAAGGAGTTCTTGGTCATGGTATCTTTTTGTGTTAGGGTTTTGCAGTACTTTTTTTGCTTGGGAATGAGACTCGCTTTTTCTAATTTCAGCAAATCTGATACAATTTAATTTTAGTATGTTGCTGGCATTTTTACATTGGTTTGAATTATTGTGAAGAGATTTATCTATTAGGAGTCCCTGCTGAGTGCCATGGCATTATGGGAAGGAATACTAATAAACAGTTACTTCCAGGAGTAGCTGTTAATCCTTTAATATTTTTCAAGACGTATCTATTATAGTTATAATTCTTTATTTTTCTAGATCTGACAAGCATGTCTTTTAAATCTGAAGCAGGGGAATGAGAGCACCAGTGCCCAGATCTCAGTGATGCAATTCTAAAACAGTAAAATTCTAAACAATACTGGGGCTTGTGTGATTTTTCTTTGTTTCTCTTTGCTCTCCCCAACAAAGGAAAAAAAAAAAGCCTTGAAGAAGCCGCCTTTGTCTTTAAATATGTATTTATCAGGCTTTGAAATTACTCATCATCACTTCAGTATGCAAATGCTGAAAGGCATTTTACATTCCATAACTAGCAAATGCCAGTACATTTTGGGTTTCTGTCAGACTTGCAGGCTTAGTCCTCCAAAGCACTGAGTATTACTGGTGACTAGATTAGCATGGATATTATGTACATAAAGCCTTGCAGGATTATAATCCGTTTGGTTTGTATATGTGTGTATATATATGGATATTTTTATATTAAAACATGCTTGGCTCCATATTCTGCAAAGACCAGAAGGTATGCATAACATAATTTTAAACATGGAGCAATATATTGTGTTCAATTATGGAGGAAAAAATAAAGAAAGGCTTTAATCTTTGTGCCAGCAGACTGGAGGGAGGGGATGCGATGTGACATGGTGTTCAGCACCTGAGCTCTGGACAGCAGTATTTGAGGGACCAAAGAATTGTACATGCAATTTGTGGATTATAAAGCAAATTAAATATGTTACTGTTGCTTGTGTTATGGTGTACTCCAGTGCCATGTCAGGATCCACTGTAGGTCAAACTTGAGACCCTGTATTTTACAAAATATTCTATAAACTATTAGCAGGGCTGCTGTATGACTATTAAAATCATTTACTCATATGGCCAAAATAAAATCTAAGCTTAAATGAGAATACTGTCCAAATGTGCTTTATGTTCTGAGGAATTATAAAAAAATCAAAAGATATTCTGAACAATAAAATAATTTTAGCATCCTAAACTTTGAGTTGAATTTCAAGTGATTTAATGTCAATAAGTTGACATAGATGAAAAGAAATGACTTGTTTCTGCATATGTATTTTTCTGTGGATACATATGATAGTTTGTAGTGTACTAATATAGTTTGTAGAACAGTGAACTACGTGAGTTATAGTGAAATGAACTGTGCCGAACTACAGCATTGAAGTGCATATTACTGCATTTTAACAACATTTTGTCCGTGTGCTTCTTAACATGTGCCTTGAACACACTCTGAAGACAAAAGTTCACAGAAACGCGTTGAAATGTAGCTGTTGCAATATGAAGCTAAAATCTTGTGTTCTTGTTTCAGCTGTGGGAGTTTTGGGGGGGTGTTACTTCTTTTTGAGCTAATTGAAATCAATGGCCATCATTTTTTTCCTTTTTCTTTCTAGGGGTTGATACAAAATTGAAATTCACTCTTGAACCATCTCTAGGGCAAAATGGTTTTCAGCAGGTAATTCAATTCATTTTTTCTCTTGGGTTTTTGTAGGACTGAGCTCTCTGCAGTCGAGGTGCTTGCCCTAGTTCAGAAGTGCATCTGTCATCATAACATCAGCATATTGTTTGCAGTTGCATCAAGAGCTGTTCCATTCCTATTTGGAAAATGCAATAGGCTTTCAGTGTTTACTCAGATGTCTCATAAGCCTGTGTGTCCTAGAATATTATACTTTTGTTACATCATTAGGTAATTAATCCTAATATTTTCCCTGTAGGTGGATTAAGCAGTTGAACTCTAAAATGTGTGCAGTAAAATGAAATGAATGTGCATGTCTGCAAGGTTGTAAATGTTGTTATACTGTTGATTTAAACTAATGATGGATTTTTTTACACTTTTGGATGCTTTTGGTTTTAGTGGCATGATGCACTCAAAGCAGTGGCCAGACTGCCGACAGGAATCCCAAAGGAATGGCGGAGAAGGGTAGGTAGACCTGTACCCTTAGTGAGCCTTGTTGCCTGTAGATTTCGCAGGAGAGGTGAATTACATCAGTATAATCTGTTGGCATTTTTTTTAGCAAATATTTGAACTTCTTAAGTTGTACTGGGGATTTTTCCTAGTATACGTTCTTCAGTGATAACCTCACAGGGCAGCTGGAGAGACTGAGGAGACAGGTAAAGATGGTGTTTTCAATAGCTGGGTTCTTTCTGCTTGAGTCTTAGGTAACTTATTCTGGTGCAGATGTTATTGCTTCATTCTGTCAGTCTCAAGAAATTGCATTGGTGAAGCTGCCCCCACAGTTGAAGATCAGCTGAAAGGGGAACAAATCTGCAGTGTAGGCTGTCATACTTAAGAAGGTGACATTGATAGATGCTAGTGCTGACAAGAATGTTCATAGAAACATTTGACAGGAAAAAGGCAGATTGCCTAAATTAGGGAAGTTCAGAGTCAAGAGTGATGTACAATGGCAGAGTGCACCATTAATGGGAAATTGCACTGGGTTAGTATTGTAGGAGAGGGTCCACTGGGATTTTGTTAAACTTACTTTATTGCTTTCTTCAACAACATTTGAAGTTTCCTAGCATAAAAAGAGGCATGTCTAATCATTTTTTCTTTAAGACTGAGTCACACAATCTCAGCTTTAAAAACATAATTTTAATAAAAATAATATTTTTGGAGCCTTATCTGGTTTTGATCCATGAGCTTAATTGCCTTTTCCAGTTGCCTTCTTTTTTTTTGCTATCTTTCCAAACTGAACTGTATCTCTTTACAAATCAGGGACAAGGAAGAGTAAGATTTACAGTGACATTGTTTTTCTCACACACTATCAATTTATTTTTAATCTACAACTCCAATGTATCATTATATCTGTCTAACAGCCTTTTTTCTTTCCTGAAACATTCTTTTCCTATGCTCCAGAAAGCATCTCAGACACTTTTCTGTGGTACATGTGTGGCAGAGGTCACAGAATCATAGAAGAGCTTAGGTTGTAGGGGACCTCAGGAGGTCACCTGGTCCAACCCCGCTGCCCAAAGGGGGCAGCGATCTGGTTGCCCCAGACTGTGTCCAGGTGACTTTTGAATATCTCCAAGGAAGGAGGCTCCCCAGCCTCTCTGGGAGATCTATGTCAGTGCTCAGTCATCCTCACAGTGAAAAAATGTTTCTTGGTGTTTGGAAAGAACCTCCTGTGTTTCAGTTTGTGACCATTATCTCTGGTCCTGTCACTGGATACTGTTGAGAAGAGCTTGACTTTGGCCTTGTACTCTCTCTTCAGGTGTTTATGTACACTGAGCCTTCTTTTCTCCAGTCTGAATGGTCTGAACTCTTGCAGCTTTTCCTCATAGGAGAAATGCTTTCCAACTAGGTCGTTCCCACCATATACTGGTGCCTGGGGTTGCCCCAGGTGCAGAACTTTGCTCTTCTCCTTGTTGAACTTCATGAGGTTCTCATCAGACCATTTTTCCATCCTGTCAAGGTGCTCTTGAGCCTACCAGCCACTCCTTCCAGTTCTGTGTAATCAGAGGACTTGCTGAGAGTATGTTCTGCCACATCATCCAGTTCAGATCTCTGTCTTCTCTATTTATTCTGCCCATCTCATTGTTTGCTCACATGTGACCACATGATGGTAACCAAAGAAGTAGACATAAGAAAAGGGATGTGGTCTTTTCACTGCCATTCCCTCGTTTCCCAGTGATTTTAAGGTAGATACCAAAGTAAATGAAACATTTTGTGTTGGCAGCATGCTTATTGCCTCCTTTGCTGGCAGCAGGAGTAGGATGACATCTGCATTATTGTTATGGCATGTGACATTTGCTTTCTGGGGCTGGCAGAGATAAAGAATCCAGTCAAACAGCATTAGTAGGATGTCAGCAGTGCCAAGGCTGCTGGGAGGCAGAACAGTGGCATTCCTCCACATGGATGGCTTTGCAAAAGTGTGGGAAGGGACATTTAAATGCAGAAGACATGAGATTCTAGGAGTTGTCTATAAATTCCTTCATCATTGTTGCAGTTTAGGAGTGGTTTTCCCTAGTTTAGTGTTTCCACTCAAAATCCCCAGACCACATGCTGGTTGCTCACTCTCCCACCCCTCCCCGGACAGCGGGATGGAGGGAATTGAAGGCACAAAAGGTAAAGAGCACGGGTTGAGATAAGAACAATTTGCTGATAAAAACAGCAGTGAAGTAAGAAAATGAACAGTGGCATCAACTATATTAAGAAGACCCATGGCTGAGTTTGAGGAAAGGCAGCAGCAGTGTTACCTTCCATAAAACTCCTTAATGAGGATACAAGGGCCGAACTGACAGAGGGTCCTTGCCTTGTGCATCCATCTTGAAGAACCTCTATGGATTCAGTGTCGTGACAGTGGACTGGCATCGTTTTAAGCAGTTCACAGATCTGGACACTAAATGCTGTTTCCTTCCTTTCTGTTTTAAGGAGCAAGGCGTTAATTTAATTGTGCAAAAATTTGTATTCCTTGTCTGCAAATTTCAAGTCTAGCAGCAGATCACATATGGGTGATTAATCTAGTGATATATATCAAAACTCCATATTTTTATCAGAGAAATGATTCATTTTGTTGACTTGTTTTATCTGATCTGGACACTAAATGCTGTTTCCTTCCTTTCTGTTTTAAGGAGCAAGGCGTTAATTTAATTGTGCAAAAATTTGTATTCCTTGTCTGCAAATTTCAAGTCTAGCAGCAGATCACATATGGGTGATTAATCTAGTGATATATATCAAAACTCCATATTTTTATCAGAGAAATGATTCATTTTGTTGACTTGTTTTATCTGAGAAATGATTCATTTTGTTGACTTGTATATTTCTAGAAATGATTCATTTTGTTGACTTGTTTTATCTGAGAAATGATTCATTTTGTTGACTTGTTTTATCTGAGAAATGATTCATTTTGTTGACTTGTTTTGTATATTTCTAGGTTTGGCTGACCCTAGCTGATCAGTACTTACACAGCATAGCCATTGACTGGGACAAAACCATGCGTTTCACATTCAACGAAAGGAGTAATCCTGATGATGACTCTATGGGCATCCAGATAGTAAAGGTAGCTAGCTAATTTGTTATTTTATTTCAATTTTTTAAAATTGAAAGTTGAAATTTGAATTTAAATTTGGATTTATTTTGTTCTCTGCGACTGCTTTGTCAAAAGCTACATCTTAATTCCCTTTGGCCCACCAAAGTTGTGGGGTTTTTTTGGGTGCTTTGGTCCTTCTGCACTAGTCTGGTTAATATTAGCTGGGAAAAAAATTGCTGTTACTGTTTTTTTTCTCAGTTTTTACTTTCTTATTTTAAAAGAAATACTGGAGTTTAATGGAAACAAAGGAACATAAATGATTTGTTTCCTATAAATAAACACAAGTCTTTGCTGGGATTAAAAGGTATCTTTTATAATACAGTTTTTCAGTTATTTTACAGGAATGAAACATGTTTGTCTATGTATATTTCTCAGCTAATTAATGTTTAATATTCAAAGCAGTCAGCAGTTTCAGGGAAGAGCTTAAGAGATTTGTATTTCTGCCATGACTTATTAACTATTAGTCTGTTTATCTATTTAGGAGGACTTACTCTGTTTAGGAGGGATTGTGTTCTACAATCACCTTAATTAGAGTACATGGAGCAAAATACTTTGTGTTCCTGATTATTACGATTGTCAGCTGTACTTGGTAATTTAAGCTTATAGATAATACTTACGAAATATTAAATGTTGTTGTATGTGTTTTGCCTTTCGCTTATAAATCACTTAAGTATCAGGGACACGGTTTCTGGTTTTTATGTTTTGAAAACTTAGTTGCCTGGTAGTTCTTTTATACTTTGATAAAAACAGTTGCTCCTTTTTGTTCAGTTGAGCAGCTGTTATGTCTTGCCTCTTTGAAACCCAGAGATCTATTAATATCTTCCATCACTTCACAATATCTTCATGTGAACATCTTTTAGGTAACTTGCTTACTTTTAAGTTTGCTGAACCTATTTCACTTGGGTAAGCTAAAGATTTACAGATTAAAAAAAGAAACTTCATCAACTTTGAAAGTATGTATTGGGAGGGTGGAGGTGGAAGGAAAACTGGGACAGGCAGAAGAACTACAGTGAGAATGAAAATACACATCTTTTTCTGTCCTTGTCTTTTCCTTTTTTTTTCTTTGCTTTTAAAGGACCTTCACCGAACTGGTTGCAGTTCTTACTGTGGCCAGGAGGCAGAGCAAGATCGAGTGGTACTAAAACGTGTTTTGCTGGCTTATGCCAGGTGGAATAAATCTGTTGGCTATTGTCAAGGATTTAACATACTAGCTGCACTTATTCTGGAGGTAATGGAGGGCAATGAAGGAGATGCCCTAAAAGTAAGTAAAATACTTTTCTTCAGTGTTAATAATTGCTTGTAGTTAGTGAGCTTTAGAATAAATCAGTGTAGCAGAGCAGGTATAGATGCTGTTGCCTGTAAAGGTGCCCTCAGGATTGGAGCTATGGGATAAGTGTGTTTGGATTATTGTAGAGTCTAGGAGTTAAGGGAGCAAGGGGATTCTGAGAACTTGCCAGTCTGGTCCCATTTCTGGGAAGGATGTTATAAACAAAAGCTCTGTCTGGGAAGCATCTCCCAGAGGCTGGGAAACAGCAGGTACTACTGACACCATGGGGCTTTTGACAGCACAGGACCTAGGTAGTATGTTTAAGTTAAATCCCTGGAGTTGCCTTAAAGTTAGCCTACAGGAATTATGGTAAGCAAGAAAATCACAGCTTGAACGTGTAGAAGCTATCAAAGTATGCATAAAAGTCTCATTGATACTGAAACGTATAAAAATTTTTTTCTTGCATATTATTGTGGGGAAATATTCGAGTCAAATAATAAAAATAAATATGTAGAGATGTGCCATGAAGACAGTATCTATTGCAAACAGATAAATACATGAAGCTGCTTTTTAAGACAAGTATTCTCCAAGAAATTCACATTGGTGAAACAGAATGGACTTCACTGTTGAAAAAAAATTTCTGTTCTTTTCTATGCTGTCATGTATCTGAGATCTGTGAAGTAATACAACTCAGTAGGAAGGGAGCAAAAGCCTCTATAAAACAGTGTCTTTAACATGGGGATTTATGGCTTATGTCATAAGAAATCAATGAAAACACAAATGGCATAGTTGAAAGTTAATGTTGCTTTATTAAATTATTTTTCCATTGACTGCAATATATGACACACAATATATGAACAAAATAAAGCATAGTTTTACAAGACAATGAGGTGTCCCAATATTCAGCAAAGATGAGGGAATGCATCTGACAAAGTACAAGACTCACATGTGTAAAATCTATTGATTTGCCTGTGTTGACTACTGATCTTCAGGCTTTAAAACATGGAACATGACTGCTATTGCCAGAAAAAAATCTGGCAAGAACAAGTGGCAATTTGTGATCTCAGGCAGCTGGGAGATAAAAGGAAGCAGTAGACTCTGTAAGCTGGTGCTCTTGGAAGTTCAGTGTCTGACAAGCTGTTTTTGTGGGCATCTTACTAAAAGAGAGTATTGGAAGGAGGATTGTCTCCTGTGTATGAAGGTGCAGTGCTCCTCTCAAGAATTGGAGACTGTATGAAACATGGTAAGGATGCTCATATGAGAGTAACAGAGATTTGAAGCAGATGGGATGACCACATGCAGGCTCTCTGGATATGTTTTGTAGAGTGTGTAAAGTGAAGGTCTGTCTTCTGTTGGACTGATGAAATAGATCAACTTAATATGCTGGTTTGGGCTGAAGTAGAGTTAAACCACGACACTTCTGCATATTTTTTGTTGTGTTTGTTCAGTCTCACAAATTTGACAGTATCCATTTAATACATTACCATCCGTGTAGTTGAGCTATCTCACTTGAAACATGTCTGCTTAAAATGTCTCATGCTGCTTAATTTAGCAGCTTCTAAAGTGACAAGATGGAGTGCAGCACACGGTAACACATCACAGTAAAATGTGTGGAGAATCTATTTTTAAAGAACAGTATCTTGTGTTTTGGAGAAGGAAAAGAAGAGGTGTTTTGGAAGATCAGTCTTCTAGTTGTGTCAGTTAACCACAGAAGGGGCAGTGAAACTTTGCAACAGTGTGGAGAATCTCAAACATGTCCCACATCAGAAGTACCAAAAGTTGCCTTTCGTTTGAGTATTACTGCCAGTATGGGCATAGCTTATTGTGACATTGTTTTCAGTCATTCATAATTCATAAACTGGGCAGCTTCAAGTGGCCTTTGCGTCTTGATTGCTTGTGGGTACCTAGAGTACCTGTGGATGCTTAAAATTACAATGTTTTCTCCCTAAATGAATGGAGGTGCCAGAGGCATGTGTTGCCACTGACTTCAAGCCATTCTTTAGTGAACACAGAACTCAAAAATTCTCTATTTTTATTTTTCTGTTACTCCTAGAAAATAACCAGCTCTGTAAGGCCTACACGATGATATTTCACTTTCCCCACAGGTCATGATTTACCTAATTGATAAGGTGCTTCCTGATAGCTATTTTGTCAATAATCTCCGTGCTCTCTCTGTGGATATGGCTGTTTTCCGGGATCTTTTACAAATGAAGCTTCCTGAACTGTCCCAGCACTTAGACACCCTGCAAAAAACTGCTAACAGAGAAAGTGGAGGTACGTTCAACAGAAAATGCTATTAAATTCTGTCTTGCTATTGTTTCTTCTGACCGCTGATCTAAAAGTGCTATATTTTAAGGGTTTGCATGAGTTATTGCTTAGAATATGTATTTTAAATTGTTAGGTGAAATATGATGGTTTCCATTATTGATAACCTTAGCATAAACAAAGTAATGGTATGAAGGAAGTGTTTGCTGTTTAAAAGTGTTTTCACAGACCAGCCTATCTGTTTGTGGCCTTCAGTGCATCAGTTGATACTAGGATGCACGAAGTGTTCTCTAAGCGTAACAAGAAAGTAAAACTTTGGAGTTTCAGGTTGAAATACTAAATCTTGTTTGAAACTTAGCAAGTGCATCAGGATATGAAAATAATAGATAAGACTTTACAGAGACAGTCACCTTCATCTTCATGTAGATAAAGACATCTTCATGTAGATAAAGCCATCAGTTGCTGATGAAATGCAGTGTTTTGGGGGTAAGTTGGTGAATTTGTTTGGGCATCTTTTAATATAAGTTTTGATCTCATATGGCTCTGGGGAAGGAGAAGTAATCTTTATGATATAAGGGAAAAAAAGTATGGTGGTGTGTTCCAGGGTTTAGAGTCTGAAAACAATGCTGCTGCTTAGAGTTTTTGCTGTGCAGCAGAATGAAGGTGACTATGTCAGTTTACCATTGCCCTTCTCAGCTTCTCTTTGGACAGCTGCAGGCTGAGAAAGTTTTGAGCAATAACAGAGGTATTAGAATGTTTGGTGAATTTGAGTATGCAGTTTTATACTCCTTGTAAAATAATAGTAAATTGCAATTGCTTGAAGTTTTGGGGTTATGTTGTTTTGGTTTTTTTAACTTCAGGAGGCTACGAACCGCCACTTACAAATGTCTTCACAATGCAATGGTTTCTGACGCTCTTTGCCACTTGCCTGCCTAACCATACAGTTCTGAAGATCTGGGATTCAGTATTCTTTGAAGGCTCTGAAATTATACTGAGAGTAGCTTTGGCTATCTGGGCAAAGTTAGGAGAGTAAGTTGTCATTTTTGTCTGATTTTTCTTTTCAGTGTGAGCAATGCATGTAACTTTTGTTCTTCTGAAGAGCATGTTCTTGTTCCTAAACTAGATGTGATCTTTTAGGAGAATCATTTTGTTTTGAAAAAGCTGCACAAAGGACCTCTGTGGTTTCCCAAAAACATGATTTTGACAGCATGTCAGAATGGACATGATAATTGACATTTGGTGCAGGAAATGTCTGCAGTTGCTTGCATTGTCTGTGTATAATGTCTTCATGCTAGGCTAAAAGGTTGGTTGGGCTTTCCAAAACGTAAACCTCTGAAGGAACTGGTAAATCCTCTGTGGAAAGGCACACAAAGACTTGATGGTCACTGGCCAATTAATTGAGTACCTGTTACGGTACCTGTTAGTGAGCGGTGCCTCTGCCTGAATTAAGGTGCAAATGAGACCCTATGCCAAAGTAAATAATACGTTAATAGCATAGTAATATAATAATACAGGTTTTATGTAACACTAAAATGTGAGGGTGAAGTAACCTGTTCTCGCCTCCACTGGGCCTGGAATGAGTGCAAACTCATCTCTTTTGTGCTTATGTCAAGTTGCCACTGTGGTGGCTAATGTGTCTTATCTTAGGGTGAGTCCCTTTTGTGGCCTTAACAGTGTTTGAGACAGGTAAAGTATTATTTAAATTCCTTACAGTACCTGAAACTGGAAATGTTAATTCCCTTGTTTTCACTTAAGGAGACTTAAGGGTTTGAGCCCATTGGCTATGCCCAAGAAAAGAGTTCAGTGTTACTAAGGAAATGATTTAGTAGTACACAGGTCTTTGCTGTTACGGCCCGAAAATGAATTTTTCTGAAATGCTCTGCTTTTGTACACATTCTAGCCACACATGGACAAAACACAGGAGGTGGTTAGTTCTTATAAACTCCACTGTTGTCATAGCAAATATTTGCATTCCAAAGAGTTTACAGTGCTCTCAGAGAAATGAGTTTTGTCACTGGCTTCAGTGGGAGGTGTGAGCTTTGACAGGTCAAGCACATGTTAGTCCAGCTGGAAACATTTTTCAGCTGGTATCAGCAGCTGCATCGAATTTTTCTTGTGATGCCTATCAACACTCACCTTTGGTTTTTTCCAAGTCTGAACTACTGGGATTTGTGTTCAGCTTGGTCCTTGGAGGTTTAATTTCATTCTTTCTGAGTAAATTAGCACCACAGGCTGGTAGCATTGTAAGAGGCTTTGTTTAGTACATTTACTTTTTAATCTGAATAATAGTAATTAGGGTAATAAGTTCCTGAGAGCCTTTTTTATTCAGTTCATGAATGAAACTTGCATAAATCATTTGCATTAGGATTAAGCTGTATGTAGTCACATATCACATTAGATAAAAGGTCCTATTCCAGTGGGTCTCTGTGCACTTAAAAGCTGTACTTGTGAGTGCTACAGGTCATAACATGATAAAAAAAAAGTTACTGCTTTGAAGATTTTAATGGAAAACTTAAAGCAAAAATGAAGCATATTTTTAAAAATTGAAAGAAACAGAATCAAGATATCTATAAGAATATGTCCAAAAGAATAAACTGATCACATTGCACATCTTATAACTGTTTGTGGGGAATGGGAGAAGGCCTGGTAAAAGATCGGGCACTATGTTTTGCTGGGAGAAGACTGTGATTTTATTTTTTTTGTTCCTCTTTGTCCACCATTAAAAACAGAACAGAGGGGTCTAAAATAATGATCATAGTCTTATGATCTTTGTACTTCTCAAGACTGTTGTTCTAGAAATGAAAATGGGGTGAGAAGTGCATTTTCTAAAATGTCAGTGGCTCAATGGACCTTCTGTTTTGAGGAAGACTGAAAGAATGGGGAGGTTAAAAATCAGTGCAGTGGAATAAGCAGTATTTGGAGGTCATGAGAGACTGAAGGTCTTGGGGAAGGTAAACAGTAAGTTTATGATAAGTGGATATATACCTATTGTTTCTACTAATATTTTTATCTTTTATCTTTTTTAAACTATGTAATCATTATTTTAACTAAACTATGTTAAGATTTTGCTAGGATTTTCATAGTTCAATGATTGTTCCATACAGATGCTAAAGATCATGGGAAGCTTCCTCTGCTAATGTTTAAGAAAAAAGGCAGTGTATTTTTTTCATCATTCCAGCAGCTGTGTTTTAGAGGAGAGGCTACAGCATGGAGCCATCAATGCACTTCTTTGGGATAGAAGTGAAAAATTTTTCACTTGACAGGAGAGATATTTAGCAGCTGACCCTAATGAATGTAGAACATCAGCTCACAAAAGCATATTACTCATATTTCTCTTCCTGTAGTTGACACTTTGTGGGTGATTCGGTGTTTTTAGAAATTTAAAGAAAAGTGTGAAGGGGAAAAAAAACTCAGTTGAACCCCTCCTTCCAAAACAAGACAAACAAAAAATCATCCTACCAAAGCAAACAACCATCCAAAAAACAAATCAAAGAAGTCCCTATCTCTAATTTAGAAATGGCATTCACAGATATGCAGGATAAGAGTGAATTTTTCTTCATTCTGCGTTATGTTAGCTTAGTTCTTTTTGAACACAATGATATATATGAATATTCCTGTACTTAATTTACTCCACAGGAATGGTTTCTGGCCAGCAAATATGTTCCTGTCTGACAAAAAGACTGTTCAACTGGTGAATTCAGCTGTTTGGCACGTGGTGAAGAGTGGGTGATGAGACAGTCAAGAAATCTTTGTGCTCCCTTTTTGAGCTGTTGAGAGAGCTCCCTTGTGCTAGTAGGCAGCAGGATTTATTGATTCCTGTGTTGTAGGAAGTAAAAGGGCAGAGGGAATAACCTGTCTGGACATACATGAATCCCTTATCATAAGTAGTCTGGACTGTAAGCTGTACTCAGTCCATCTTTATACTGCACCAGCATTTTCAATGTCCTGTGCACAATTTTATTATTTGGAAGTCTAGGCAGAATTACATTTAACTTAGAAGTTAGTCACTAATGGAAATGCCCATTTTTTGTTGACAAAAAAATCAGTTTTGGTTTGGAGATGCGTAATGCTATGTAAAAGTAAAATAAAAACTAATGTATTTTGATGTAGGCAAATAGAGTGTTGTGAAACTGCAGATGAGTTTTACAGTACCATGGGCAAGCTGACCCAGGAGATGCTCCAAGACAGTCTGATTGACAGCAATGAACTTATGCAGGTGAGTAATTGTGGCATAATTACTTTGTGATTTCTGTGTCATCCTTCAGCTGTTGTTTTCTAAGAAATTACTCTTCCGTTCACATACTGCAGAAACCTGAACTCTCCCAAGAAAAAAGTTCCAGATAACTGAGTTGTGCTAGCATATCAGCGTATCAAATAGATGACCTGCAGTTAAAGCTAAAATCTTATTTTATACATTAAATATAGAGAACCACTAGGCCTCATTTGATAAAAATTGGTTCCTCGTTGACAGCTGAAAGTTTTTTGTGATCTAATGCCCAATTGGATTTACACAAGTATGGTGTAGAATCTCTTAGTAGTAATCATTTTCAGGGTGTTCTTTTTGTCTTACTTTTATGTTTTGGTCAGTTGTTTATTACACCTTGTACTTCTGATTTTGCAGACACTGTGGGAAATAAGAGTTTATGAAGTGAGAAGTGATTTTAAACAAAAACCCCATGAACAGTCATTAGTGAATATAGACAGAGGCATTTGTAGATAACTGTAGATAATCCCTGAATTTTTAAAGAGTATATCATTGTATGAGAAAGAAGATGCACTTTGTTCTGGGAAAGGAAAGGGCCTTTGGTATCACAAATGCAATTTATTTATTCATAGTCACAGTTATTCTTGTGATATCTGTGAGGTGTTGTCTACTTAGATGATTTATAGAGACTTCATGGTACAGTTGTGGAGCTTTCCTTTTGATGAGTTAGCACATAGTGATTATATGGGTACAAGTATGGAGCACATAATTCACCTGAAATTTTGTACCTGCCTTAGGGGGAGGAAAAAAGTCTGTGAAGTTGCATGAGTTTAAGAACAGTAGTTAGCAGATGACTTCTGTTACCCATTATTGAAAGCAAAACTTACTGTCCGGGATAATACACTTCCCTAGTCTGGTAAAGTACAGCACTGAAGTAAAGGATTATTTTCAAATCTATTATTTTTGGTGGTGTTTTGTCTGATGGGGAAGCTCTAGGAATGGGAGAAGTGAACACTGTGGCTTTGTTTTGCTTGAAAAATGGAAATGCAGCTGGTCAGAGGTACTTACATGCTTTTTAAATAAGCGTTAAGGTTTTTCACAAGGTGCTTCAGATACTGAGGATGCGTAAGGAGGGCAGCACAAGCTGATGTCTTCTCATACTCATTGTGTTTCAGTTCTGGTCTCAAGTGTGGTACAAAATCAAGATGTGGCATTTGAGACAAGGAATAATCTTGGGAAAGCTGAAGTGGGCTTTAGTGGCTCAGCGTGGATTTCTTTCTTTGCCTTTGTGTGTAGTAGAAGATCAGGCATAGGTAACTTACTGGTTGGAGAGATGGAAGGCTCTTTTTGGGTTTTTTAGCTCTTGCAAGTACAAGTATACTAAATTAGCAGGTTTCTTGTGCTTCAGCAAAAAAATGAGTGCTTGGTGCAAAGTGCATATGTGTTCATAGTGTATGTGTGTGTGTTTTGTGATACTGACAGGAGTGTTAAGGTAGGATGGCATTGCTATTGATATGGAGAATATGGCTTTAAGCTTTAAGCAAGGTTTAAGTTTTGCGCATAGAGAAGCAGTGTGTCTGGTTTATTTGTGTCCCCTCAGTTGAAGAAACCATGATATAGTTTCGATAGCATTCTTCAAGTCAAAGGCAGGCACTGGCAGTGTAGCCATCTCCAAGGTCTTCACTCTAGGCCCTCTTTACCATAAGAGGAGAGAATTAGGTGCTATAAGAGTTTATCATCACGGTATATGAGTGCTACCATGTGTCTGGCTGGTTGGAGAAGAAAATTAAGAAATATGAACCATTGCATTAATGTAAGGATCCAGGCTCCTTGAAATCACTCTTTTTTCCAAATTGCTTCAGTCTTTTTCAGAGGAATCAGTCAGAGATGAATGTTTGGACTGCTTTGTTTTCTTTATTTTTTAATTTTCCCCCTAATAAAAATCAGAATCGTGAATTTGCATCTAATACTTTTTACAAGGTGGCTCAAAGGTTAGCATCCTACAGTGCAAAAGGATTAATATCTCATTCTGCCTTCCCTGCACATTTCAGTAAAGCTTGCTTTTCTTAGACTTGTGTAACACTTATATTTGCAACTGAACTACTTGTCCAGGCTCCCTTAAGCCAGTGAAAAGTAACAGGCACTTCTCTACCACATGAAAACAAATTGTGCTCTAAAAGGCTTGTTTCCTTTGGGAGTTAGAGGAGGGAGGTACAACTGATCCTTCAAGGGAAGTGTTGACAGAGCAGATGTCTGAAGTAGATCAGAGAACTCTTGTTCTCATTGTTTCCACCAGAGAAATTGTGTAGTTGCTGCAGGTTTATCCCTCCTATGCAGACAGTACATATATCTAGGACTGAGGGCTTAAAGCTTTTGCTGATTTGGCCCCTGTGTGGCAAGAGTTCTTAACAATGCTTTACTGAGGGGAGCATGGAGGGGTTGGAGGATCAAGCAACCTACAGCTTCCTCCTTTTTCAGAGTGAACGGTTTGGGTAAATAAAGGCTAAGTGCTGTAGACATCAGATTCTAGGCTGGATATGTGTTCATGATTAGAAGCTAAACAAATACAGTATTCAGTAATGTAATTTATTGGCCTGTTGCTAAACTTTGGTTCTAATATGGAGACAGAAGGGTGTACACCAGGTGACTGCAGATACTCTAAACAGAGTGTGCTAGATTGGGTGCATGTTTTCATGCCTTTTCAGAAAGCCAGCATTTTTATAAGCAGCTAAATTAACTCACTTTGTGCACCTAGAAATATTGTAGCATAGAGGAGGCAAGGATGAGCTGCATCCCTGTGTGTTTACTGAGATGGAGTGGAACAGGGATTAATCCCTCTGTGGCACTGTAGCATTTTAGACTATCTCCCTAGACTGTTACCCTGATTTGAGGGTATTCACTGTTAGCTTCTATTTGAGTAGCAATTTGTCTCTTTCTTTTGGGTTTGTTTTTGCTTTTGCTTTTTGTTTTGTTTTCTTGGTAAAAGTGAAAAGAGGGAAGAGCCTTAAACCAATGTGGGGCAGCTCTTGAGATAAGTGTTTGAGCTGTCTGCAAAAGGGCTTACCCTCTTTTGGAAGCCATGGTCCATCACCTACCATATGATGTTCTGCTGAGGGTGTAGACAGATTTGCATTTTTAGGGTAAAGCAAAGGATTGTCAAATGATTTAAGGTGAGAATAGAGGTTTTTTTCCTTGTCTCTTTTCACATTCTGGAATCTTCCCTTTATGTTCCATAAATAAGATACTAAGTTTGGCTGCAACATGCTTTATGTGTATAGGCTATTTCCCTCTGGCACAGTTTTACCAGAATTAACCAAATGGTGTCCAAGGCTGTGTACGAACTAGAAACAGGATGCTGTGAAGCATTTCTGGGAGGATATTGAAGGTATTGATGGACAATATTTTTTAATTTCCAGCAGAACTGGCATCAGCATAAAATTTGTTTTGTGGATCTGTTCGCCAGGTGTCAAGCAAGGGCTCCAGTTATAATCTGATAAGAAGTAATTAAGCTAAAAACCTGTATGAAAGAAATTGTAGAGGATCTGGAAGAGACACAGATTGGACAGGAAAAAGCCAAAAGCATAATCTAAAACAGTAGGTGCAAGGAGTAAATAGAGGGCTCGGAGTTGACTGTTTCACTTAAAGGGTAACTAGCATATGGAACAAGTTACCTGACTGTTGACATAAAGAGTAGAAATAAATTCCAGACAAACCTCGTTCACTATGAAGAGAGAGACTTGAGACATATGGAAAAAAAATCCAAGCAGAAAAGTATGCTGGAGATCAAACAAACAGGCAGACATGTTGGGCTGGAGGCAGGTCTTTTTCCAGATCATAAAATTCCTTTGTCTGGTGGACTGCCGGGACATCACTGTTCAGGCCCTAGAGAATATTTCTCTTTCACAGTAGAATTGTAGCTTAATGGAGTGGCAAAACTTCAGTTCATGCTGTGGGTTTTTGAAGGCATCCTCCTTTCCTTAGAGTATGTGCATTGCTTGAACTGTAAAATCATTCTCACACAGAAGCTTGTTGAGGTGCACTATTGCCCTGTGCTTGATCCAGACAGCAGTGTCCTTCCTGCTCCTCAGTGCTTACATCAGTGCCCTTAGGAAAACTGGTTTTTTTCTGCTTCTGTCAGGAAAGGCCTAGTACTGAATTCATGTTTGCAATTTTCCTTAGTGTGTTTAGCACAGGTCAAGCATGGATTATGTAGAAATTGTTCAGAAGTTCCTTTCATCTTAATTGAGGTCGTTTGCCTCAATGAAAATGTCACAAACTTAAAAACACAGGAAAAAAGTTAAGATTTCCTGTCACAACTAATGAGATAATTTTAGGTTGTTGTCTTTCAGAAGACATTTCAGTTTTAGGATGTGGAAAAGCTATAATATTTTAGAGAAACTATGGAAAATGATGTTTTTTGCTTTTTAAACTTTTTTTTCCTTCTGACATTGAGAAGGATTTCCAGTGTGCTGGCAGGGAGGGGATTTACATTAATTATTAAATGAGTATAAGAGTTGAAAAGGACCCTACATCTAATATTATTGGTTCCTTTTTCTTGTTTCTCTGAACCATGTATTTTTCTAGTGAGTCAGTCTTCATTTTTCTTATGGGGAATACTGACTGAATCATAGGACTAGACCATTTTCTTACAGCACATGAATGTGCAGCCTTTAATCCTGCAGGACTGTGAAAGTCTGTTCATGGAGAATTCTTTTTTGGGACTGTTAGTTAAAGCAAACATTTTAAAAGCTGGTTTTTTTTTTTTCCCTAGACTGTTTATACCATGGCTCAGTTTCCCTTCCCACAACTGGCAGAATTAAGGGAGAAATACACATACAACATCACTCCTTTCCCTGCAGCAGTGAAATCAACTTCATTTTCAGGGTAAGTCGGAAATGCACTGCTTATGGCATATAGGGTTATTATCTGCCCTGTGCAGATAGTGGAAAGGGCAGGTGACATCCTCCCTTGTATGCTCATAAAGAAGACAAAAATGTTTGGTCATGTTCATAATTAAGAATGTATCTTTCTTACTTCTCTTATGGTCTCATTTGACAGAAAACTAGGCAGAAACAGAGACAGCGATGAAGAGAATGACTTAGATGATGAAGACTCAATTGCCAATGCAATTGGCTGTCTTGGACCATTAAGTGGGTTTTTGGCACCAGAGTTCCAAAAATACCAAAAGCAGATGAAAGAAGGTAAAAGTGATTGTGTTAATTTTGGAAAACGCAGTTAAATCTGCATGACCTTGCAGAAATCATCTGTAGCTTCGTCTGTGGAAGCTGCTATGGAAAATGTGTTTTGTATTCACATAGAGGTTACAGCAGGTACCAAATGACTCTCTCTGCAGTCCATGAAGATGTCATCAAAGTCAAGCTGGAAGGCTGTAGGTATACAGTAAATGACAGTGTCAGTTAAGGATTTGGCTACAGTAATGGTTAACAAAACAACACCATAGATTTGCCCACCAACATTAAATAGAAGTACATGCATGGAAAAAGGTCTACCCTAAATCCATGCCTGTTTCCAAGACAGCTATTGGGTAGTCAGCATTTTCTTGAGAGTATACATGTAATAGATGATCTTGACCTTTATTAGCACATGCATGGCTAATACTGGAACCTGTCAGCAGTGAGTCAATTCTGCAGGTCATTTCACTGCCCTTTTGGCCAAACCTTCAGATTGTTGTATGTTTTGAATATATACACATTTTTAAAAGAAATTGGTATGGTTTGTGTTCTGACAAAATGTCACTGTTTTTCAAATCCCTCCATGTTGAAATAAAATTTCTTGGGCAGAACTGTATGTACATACACCTGTGCAAGCTCTACAAGCAGAACAAAATTCTGATGCATACAAGAAAAGCAGAGATCGTTTGTTTACTTGCAGCAGCCTTTATGAAATGGTACTGAATCAACAGTGATTTCATGATATCCTGGGAGAGGCCATTATTATTTAACCCCAACTCACTTCCACCTTCCCCCCAAAAAACCCTCAGACTGATGTAGCAGTTGCTGTTATCTGATTACACTTCTTCATTCTTGTGTCTTGGTTTTGCTGAGACCTATAAGCTGCAATTTTCCTCTTGATTGCTGTGGTGTTTTCTCTTCCTAAGGGGCTGTAAATCTCTACCTGCTGCTTCAAGCTAGCACTTAGTCAGAATATCAAACTGATGTTGCAAACTAAGCCAAAGACAAATAAACATCCCTTGAAAAAGAATTATCCCCCTGACCCTGGAGTGCCAGATTGGTGGAGCATCAGAAACAGCTGTGAAAATAAATTGCACTGCTGCTGTTTCTCTGCGGCTGTTGATCAGAGACACACTCAAGTTGTCTAATCCTCAGGTGTTCTGTGCCTGTCCCCTAGCAGCTCTCTCCCTGTGGTGTTCTGTTTCTTGATGCTTCTTGCTGGTATCACTAGGTCAATTGTTTAATCTCATGCCTGCTTACCTGTAATGTATTTTATAACTTGCATTGTTAGCCTCTTCTTTGACCAAACAAGTGTCTTTAATAATCAGTTAATTAATTACTTCAGTGATAGCTTGATGTACTTTGCATGTTTGAGGAACTGTGCTTATAACTTTGCATTACTATGTTAATTGACTTTTGTCAAACCCTTGCTATTCTTAAGCAGTAGTAATACTTCTTATGGTAAACAGCGTAGTTTTGTTAAAGATTTATTGTTATTTTAATAAGTTTTAATTAAAGACTACAGTTAAATAAGATGATAGGAATCAGGCACAGACTTCCTTTGTAAATAATCTGCAGAACCCTGAGTATGCCAGTTTATTCCTCATCTCCACTTTATTCCCACCTTGTGCAGATCAGAATGAAGAACAAAGCCTGGGTTCCAGTAACATCGCAGAGTTAAGCCCAGGAGCAATAGACTCTTGCCGAAGCGACTATCATGCTGCTTTTAACAGCATGATGACGGAGCGCATGACCACTGATATCAATGCACTGAAGCAGCAATATTCCAGGATAAAGAAGAAGCAGCAACAGCAGGTTCACCACGTGTTTATCAGAGCAGGTAACATACCAAAACATGCCTCACTGGTTTAGTACAAGCTAATTTCCATCAGTGGAGACAAGGCAAATAATATTCTTTTACCTGATGGAATATATGACACATTAGTTGTAAAATGAGTACCACTTCATACAGACAGAAAACAAGAAGGTGATGTTTTTTCTTCTGTTGTCAGGACCTGAAGATGATGACCCTGGGATTTTTTTAGGTCCCAGGGACCAGCTGAACAATGGTATTTAAAAGTGCCTTTGCTATCTGGGTGCATGGTGTTGATCTATCTGATTAAAAACTTTCAATCTTTGGCATTCTTGGAGTTGACATACTGATGCACTGCATAAAGTGAATGAGGAGATGAGGACGCTTCAGACCATGTGGCAGGTAGATTCTTAGGTGGTCCATATTGTCCTAACTCCTCTGAATTCATTCGTGCATGGCAAAGGCAGCTGAAAGAACTGGCTTAGATGTTCATTGTGGCTGGCGGTTCACCTAGCCGTAATGATGCTGTTGTGAAGTCAGAGCTGGATAACAGTCCGTTATTTAGTAATCCGTGTTACAGAGTCTGTTTCCCCAATTGGCATACTCAACAACTGAGGTTTAGCATGAATAGAGCAGCTGAAGGTTTTAGTGGATGTGCAAGCTGAACCCCACTCATTCCTCCCCACTTAGGTGTCATCTTTCTAAGTCAGCATTGAACCATGCAGATGGGTCACTGTGGAGAATTTTTCTTTCTCTTCCAGATCATCTAAACTTGCACTAGCAGGAGCATTTGAATACACGGAGCTTCAATTTTTCATTAACGTAATTTATAAGGAATATTTTTTCTAAGTGTTAACAAAGTATTTGCTTTGGATACAGGCTATAGCCAGCAGAAACAGTGCAAACAGTAACATGTTGATTCCCAAGGACTGCCAACTCCTACCCTTCAAACACAAACCTTTCTAATCTTACTAATCATGATGCAGAGCTGGGTTTGTCATTTAACCACTGTTATCTAATTACTAATTCTGAGTCTACTTCTCTGGTTTAATAAGGTGCAGTTTATCCATTAAAAGTACTTTGATTCATTCTCCAGTCACACAAGCTTCATGGAGAGACTTATTTGACTGACCTCATATGGGGACTGAATTGCCTCTTGTAGTTAAAAGAGAAATGAAGGAGAGGGGAAAGATTAGAAGCCAATATTAATATTAAACTTGGGTTTAGTGCACTTCCAAAAATCAAGAAGCTATTTCTTTGATTTGTTTTCATGGTATTCCTGGCTCAGGACTTAACCACAGGTGGAAAGCAGGGAGAGAGGGTAGGAAATCTTTATAGAAGGTAGAGCCTTGTGTTCGATTCCTAGATATAAGTGAAATTCAGTGATTATTTTTTTTAAAGTTTTTGTTTGGTTGTTTGTTTTTTTAAAATAGCAGTTAGTCCTGCAAACCTTTGCTTATACCTCAAGAAAGGCATAAAATTTGGTGGTGGATCCTTAGAACATTAATTTGTTTTGTTCTTCAACAATACTGTGTTTCTTTTGAATGCTTTCTTTCAGATAAGGGGCCAGTTACCAGTCTCCTCCCTTCTCAGGTAAACCATTCCCCGGTGATAAACCACCTCCTTTTAGGAAAGAAAATGAAGTTGAGTAACAGGTCTCTCAAAAATGCTGTTATCCACATCCCAAGTCATTCTACAGGGAAGATGTCTCCCATTCCCCAAGAAGATCTTAAAACAAAACTGAACTCTCCGTGGCGTACTCACATACGAGTACATCGGAAGAATATTGCTAGGGCCAAAGGCCAGCTAGGCTATGGGGATACCATAGGACTAATAGATGAGCAGAGTGAGAGCTGTAAAACAAATAGTCCTGGTGCAAAGGAGACTTCCAAACATTCTGACTTTGGAGAAAGAGAAGGAGGTGGTTTGGATGACAGGACTACTCGGAAAGCTGACCAGCAGTCATCTGAGCCAGTCTCTACGGACAGCAGTACAAACATGTCAGTGGTTCAGCTAAAACTGGAAGCACTGGAACTCACCTCAGATAGCAAAACAATTACTGAGTCAACATCCCATCAGCCCAGCCAGCCATGTTTATCAGAGTCCTCCACTTCATCTGGAGACAAGGGAAACCTGTCTAAATCTCCCCAGCCTGGGAACCCAAAGCCACAAGTCTTCAATCCTTTTCCCAGTGTCAAGCCTCTTCGAAAGTCAGCAACAGCCAGGAATTTAGGGCTGTATGGCCCCACTGAGAGAACACCAGCTGTACACTTCCCACAAATGAGCAGAAGTTTCAGTAAGTCTGCCAGTGGCAACAGTGGGACCAGGAAACGGTGATGTACTACCTATTTCTGACAGCAACAAAAAATTTGAATTGCCTTTTTTTTTTTAATGTGTGCATGTGTATGTGTCCCAAAGCATTTCTAATCTTTAATAGGGACAGAAGTGATTACCAGATGTATAAATATTTGTCTTTGTGCTTCTGTGTTGTTATGGGATAGATTAGTGAAGATGCTCCCTGGTACCTTATTGTCGATACTGATGGCCCTGTGTAAAATAAATATTAATTTGCTGTGCAAAGCATACTGTTTCTTTAAATCTAACTCAGACACTAAATCACCTGCTGCCTTTAACCCCTAAGCCCCCTCCATGGCTGCCTCCTGTCTTTCTGAGCTTGAGGGACAAGTTGCCTGGTGCAGCAGTGTCATGGTTTAACCCCAGTCAGCAGCTAAGCCCCACACAGCCGTTCACACTCCCCCACCAGTGGGATGGGGGAGAGAATCAGAAGGGTAAAAACTAGAAAGGCTCATGGGTTGAGATAAAGACAGTTTAATAGAGAAAGCAAAAGCTGCACACACAAGCAAAGCAAAGCAAGGAATTAATTCACTGCTTCACACAGGCAGGAGGTGTTCAGCCATCTCCAGGAGAGCAGGGCCCATCACACATAACGGTTTCTTGGGAAGACAAACGCCATCACTCTAGATGTCCCTCCTTCCTCCTTCTTCCGCCGACCTTATATACTGAGCATGATGTCATATGGTATGGAAAATCCCTTTGGTCAGTTTGGGTCACCTGTCCCACCTGTGTCTCCTCCCAGTCTCCCATGCACCCCCAGCTTCCTTGCCAGTGTGGCAGTACGGAACACAGTAAAGGCCTTGGCTCTGTGTGAGCTCTGCTTAGCAATAACAAAAACATCTTTGCATTATCAACTCTGTGTTCTGCACAAAACCCAAACATAACCTCATACTAGCCTCTGTGAAGAAAGTCAATTCTACTTCAGCTCAAACCAGCACATTCCACCCCTTATTCCCATACCATGTACATCATGCCCAGGTCCCACACTATTCAATACAACTTCATTAACCACCACCCCTATTCCCGTTATATTACTCCCTTAGTCTATGGACCACCCTGACAAAATGTCCATAAAATGTCTGCTGA